GTAATATTAATATATAATGTGGTTAATATTAGAATCCAGTAATTCATTTTGTGTTTTATTAAAATTTATAAATATATATAGATATACGCGGTGGAATTTGATAGGAATATGAATTGTTATTTTTAAGAAACACAAAATAAATGAAAAATTTCCAAAATAAATTATATTCAACATAATAATTATATAAAATTTTTTGAAATAAGTAAGGCTGATGATACTCTTTTCACGTAAAATTTTCAGTGTAAGTTAACAGATAGTTAAATAATGAATCATTTGTTTACTCAAAATTAATTTTGAAAATAAGTTTAATTTAACTTTACAAAATGAATACTTCTCCAGGTAAAAAACAAATACAGTTTATTACTTACCCGTGAAAACCGTTTTTCTTAGAAATCATAATCTTATTGTAAATATTTAGCTATACGATGCATTATGTTGTTTCAGTATACATAATACGGGTCTTATGAATAATTTTAAAATATTTTATTTTTTTAAATGTCTGATAATATAACAATATAATGAGCAGAAGACAATGAGCGGTGTAGAAAACGTAAATATTGTTCATTACTTCCGGCTTTTTATAATAATTACACGAAAACGTCATCCGAATATCCGGGTATTATTATATGAGTTATCATGCAATGTGTCGTGTAATTTGCAAATAGACACATGAAAATTGTAAACTGTCATATTAAAAAACCTTATCATTTGAATGTGTAAATTTGTTTTATTTACTAACTTCCATGTAAAAGTAAAAATATCCATGGAACACAGACATGTACGAATTTCGGGTAGGTGCAATAAATATTTCTACCTACCTATAATCCAATTCTAACTATCTATATATGTAAGATATCAGGACATCACAAGTTCATATTTAATTTACCCGTGGCATTTATTATGAAATCCTTTATATATATATAGCCCAAGGGACTTGGATTAAAAATTTTGTACGGTGTTGGTGTACTTTTAAGTTATCAATTCATAAGTTTGGTATTTATTTAGCATAAGCCATTTGAAAATATCAGAATCAAATTTACAGTTCTTTACTGTAACATATATATTTAAATTTTTTCAAATATTAATTTAAACAATAGGCGTAATTTTTTTAAAAAGTTTTGAGGGTTAGTTTTGCTTTCTTTTTCATTCTAAATTATTTTTATAAAATACATATAATTTTTTTTAGCTTCGATGCGAAGCTGAGAAGGTATTGGTTTTACTAAGATGTGTTTTTTTTTTTTTTTTTTTTTTTTTT